GCCGTAGAGTTGCTTGCGACTCATAGTGACCCTAAGTACAACAGTCCTAAACCCTGCTCTATCCTGGGCCAATCGCTCTTTGACACACCTGTCCCGATTACCCCAGTCACTGAATCAATCCACCTTATAGAGGGTCTTCCGCTCTTGCGCCGTTCCTCCACCCTCCCAAGCATGACATCCCTCTCTAAGGACCTGTCTCTCCTTACAACATGCCCAAAATATGTCAGATGAAGCCCCAGAATCCTTGCCTCCAAGAAGCAGCCTGGTTTAACCCTCTCCAGGATGAATCTGTTTGTTTTCCTAGCAGTGCGTGGTACTCTCAATACTCTCCTCCAGCACCACAGCTCAAAGGCACCAATTTGCCTTAGTCATTGTCCCTAGTCATTGTCCAACTCTCTGATGCATAACAAGTGATTGCAAAGACCATAGCCTGTATCAGATGCACCTTAGTCTCCAGAGAGACACCATTGCTCTTCAGTACTCTGGAGAGGTCCCTAACAGCAGACTGTCCCATCGCAATACATCTTTTAATTTCCTGGCTACTGGTGCCAAGAGTGTTGACTGTGGAGCCAAGCAGACTAATGCTGTGAACAATCTCAATCTCTTCACCATCCATCTTGATGCTGCCAATTGGTCCAGTGGTGAGAATCTTTGTCTTTTTGACATTGAGCCTCAATCCATACTGAAGGCTGCAGTCCTTGACCCTCTGCAGCAAGCGTTTCAGATCCTCCTTAGTTTCAGCAAATAGGGTTGTGTTATCTGCAAAGTGCAGATTGTTACTAGATCTTTCACCAATCCTGATGACACACTTCTCCTGATAAAGCCCAGCCTCTCGGATAATCTGTTCTGAATACAGGTTGAAAAGGTATGGAGACAGGACACATTCCTGGCGTACACCTTTCCCAATTTTGAACCATGCAGTGTTTCCTTGCTCTGTTCTGACGACTGCTTCTTGGTCCAAGTATAGGTTTTGTATTAGAATGATCAAGTGATCTGGGATTCCCATTCTTCTCAGAGTCAGCCACAGTTTGTTATGGTCCACACAGTCAAACACCTTTGCATAATCAATGAAACACAGATAGACATTCTTCTGATATTCCCTGCTTTCAGCTAAGATCCATCTAACATCAGCTACAATATCCCTAGGTAGGTCAGCAAAAGAGAGGAAGACCTTCAGTGAGATCGACTGACACAGTGACTTCAGCAATTGCCTCAAGTTAGTCAGAGTTGATGAAGATAGCACAGGATAGGGTTCAGATCAGTTGTCCATAGGGTCACTGTGACTTGTAATCAACTCAATGGCACTTAACAACAACAACTTTAAAAGATTGCCTGTCAATGAAAAATTTTCAACTATTTTCTTACCTATACACTTTAAAATACCCAACCCCGGTAATATTTCACTTAAAAAAAATAAAAGCAAAAATCACTGAGGGCCAAATCATACATGTCTAGAGGCCAAATCAGCTGGCTGCCTCAGTGGTCAATGATGGCACCTAAGCAGGAGTCCCCTAAGTGACTGTTCCTAGAATGCTCCAGTCTCTTCATTCACCACACTTCCATTTTTGTTACAGCTCCCTCCTCCCTCTCTAGTCATGACAAAGACCGCCCAGGGAATCCCTCCCCAGCTTTGGCAGTGCTGACACACTGCAATTGCACTGAGCTCTCTAAGTAAAGCTCCTAGAAACCAGGCCTATCTGTACACTTTTTTCTTATCCTTGAACCCATAAGGAACTCTTTCAAAATTCATGTTTAGTACATATTTGCTGACTGTAATAGAATTAGATACCTCTGGCCTAGATCAGCTCACATAACCTATTCTTTACAGGCACTGGTTGTCTCTTTTAATAGATAAGATCTGCTTGAGACCCACTTCCTCTAGGTGTACTTCAAAGCCCCCATTTCTCTTTCTTCTGTAAAATGCCAGCAGTTACTCTCTCAATCTATGTAGTAATTCATACAACTCAAATTCATTGACATGGAGCCAGAACAGGCTTATAAATGACTGTAATGGTACGGAGCTGTGCTGCCAACTTAAATCTGCCACCTGCTTCACAGGAGAAAGATAAGAAATCAACATCTGTGTGACTTTCCACCTCTGAAAATTTGCTGATGGGTCAGCTATGAGTTAGTTCTGATGCAATAACACATAGCAACAACATTGGGTTTCTGTGGTTGTAAATTTTTTTTTGTGTGTGTGAGAAAAATTTGTATTTAGAATTAAGCAGCTGGACTCAGTTTAGATGATCCCAGTTTTGTTGGCAACATCCAAAGCATCATAGTCAGGAGCAAGTTGAACATACGCCTTCTTCTCTCCATCAGGACTAATCAAAGTGTTGACCTTAGCCACATCAATGTCATAGAGCTTCTTTACAGCTTGTTTAATTTGGTGCTTGTTGTCCTTGACATCCATAATGAACACAAGTGTGTTGTTATCTTCTATATTCTTCATGGCTGACTCAGTGGTCAGGGGAAATTTAATGATGGCATAGTGGTCAAGCTTGTTTCTCCTGGGGGCACTCTTCTGGGGGTGTTTGGGCTGCCGTCGGAGTCTCAGCGTCTGGAAAGTGGGTGACGTATTTGGCTGTGGATGCCCTTCAGGACCGCCTTCTTGGCCTTTAATGCCTTTGCTTTGGCTTCAGTTTTGGGAGGGGCAGGGGCTTCCTTCTTTGCTTTTGGCGTCATCTTTGTAGAAAAGCTGGTTGTAAATTTTGTGGGAGAAGATTGTCCATCTTTTTCTAGTGGAGTCACTGATCGATGTGAACCTCCAGAGACAAACTACCTTTAGGTTCACAGTGCAGCTCCCCATGGACTATGTCGCCAGTCTAGTAATTAGCACTCAGTAGAAAGCACTCAAAATAAGCCTGTTGAAATCAACAGGTAGTTAGCTTCTAAGCCTATATTTTAAGTTCATATATTGGTTTCCCAGCTAAAGTAAAGCCATTCAGGAGCAGGGCCTAAATTTTTTCATTTTGTGTTCTATGCAGTAGCTTCTGGGTAAAGTCTATAAGTCAAGCCCTCACAATAGAACAGTTGGGACATATAATGCAGCCATGAGCCCTATAATGGCAGCCTGGAGAAAGGGACTTCATGCTCTTACTGGGCGAGGAGGTTGGCTATTTGTAGTTTGCTTTAATTCCTCTTAATGCACATATAAGCACCTTACATATTAGCCAAGAACTTGCCTCTCCACCTTTGTGACTGGGACATGGAAAATGATTCTGTGGAATGCGTTCAGTCAATGTATCAAGCATCTGTGGAGCGCCTGCTATGTTCAAAGCTTCATCAGTGTTGAAGTGTCCATCAACATGGGAAAAATTAGTTTTGCAGGAACTCAGCAGTATGCTCACTCAGGTCTGCTTGGAGTTAACTTCCCATCAGACTGAGTTGGTTTCTTATCATTTTCTCAAGACTGTTTAAGACACATCCTTGACACTCCATGGGAATTTGCTTTATCTGGAATTGGGACCAAAACCTGCAAGGGTCAAGGCCTGCATGTAACTGGATTCTAAGCAGATAAGCTGGAAGGAAAAGCAGAGAACAGAATCACACCCAGCCAGAAATGTACAAAATAAACTATTCACTCGGACATGACTGCAGTCCATGGCCCTTGGCTGTGATTTGAGCGTGGCCCCTAAGAGCTAAGATCCTTCCTTGCTTCCTCTAGTTCTGAATGCTAAAGCCCATCTGAGGGCCAGAAGTGAGTGGGACAGCAAGAGAGCTTGGGAGAAACTGTACTTGATGTTCAGTGAGGCGGGATGGAGTGGCCAAGGGAATGGGCAGGACTGAGAAAGGGAGGGAGCGCCTGGTGAGAAAACAATGTTGGGAGTGAAGAAACAGGGTGGTGCCAGGCCTGCTTCTTATTTCCCCTGAGACCTCTTTATTCTATATGCTGCCAGCTTATGTGCCTGGAAATCCCTCAACAATCACCAGCAGATGGTATGCTTCAGTCATTTTGTTTGCTGTTGTGACAAAGATCTGGGCTGCAACAACCCTTAAAACTCTTCCCTAGAAGTCCCTATGAGGAGGAGAATGGTGATATAGTCAGAGACCTAAAACATTTCTATAAAGCTGCATGCCTAGTATTAAAAATGAACACACACTGAGTTCCATATTATAACCTATTTACTCTGTAAAAAATAACTTCTATTTTTTGAGTTAAATTAATATACTAGGAAGAAGCACCAAGTTTATTTTGTTACTCTGTATGTATACGTATATATTTTTTTTCTCACCCCCTACACTCACACACACCCAAGAGTACGCATTTATAAGTATGAATTATATGCTTTTTCTCCTGCAGACTGTCCTAACCTTACACCACAGTCTCTTTAGTTTTTGTCTGTCCACATCTTACCCTCAATTCAAGTCCTAGCTCTAACATCACTTCTGCTCTGAAGTCTGCTAAAAGTAATCACTTCCTTTTTGGCACAACCTTAGCTATTTTTATAACCTGTTTATATACAATCATGCTTCATCTCAGTAGCCTTTTGTGTCTCTGCCTTCTTTCCTTAGCTTCTTAAAAAAAGGGTTTATATAGAATTCCTTCCAATTTAGTTTGCCTCTCTTTAAACTGACTTCCTGACTGCTTCCTTATCCTCCACCACTACAAACAGGAAGATTTCACATGTCGTTAGGTGCCATGGAGTTGCCTATGACTCAGCCACAGATTGCCTCTTTGCCCTATCCTGCACTATCCCCATGATCTCTGCATGCTCAGCCCATCACTTCAGTCATTGCTAATCTCTCTAATTAAAAGTCTTCTCATCACCGACATTTGCTTTTCTAACCATGGATTTTACATGAGTACCAAGTTAACGCAAATTTTCACTCCTTGGTACATTTGTGCTTTGCTGGAAACAGACTATCTGGAACTAGAAAAAATGGAACTAAAAATGTCTTGCCTTCAAAGTAATAATGTCTCATGTTATAATAAGAAGGACTCTGGTCTTAGATGAGAAGATTAACCTGATAATAGAGCCAAGAAAATAAGATCTTACCTTAATATTGTCTTCTGGCCAAGAGTTCAGCATTGATGCAATGTGGCCCTTGTCATGAATGGTGATAAACAGCCCACTAAGAGAAACAAGACATGCATAGAAAGAAGCCAGTCAGACTGGGAATGAATATCACAAGTATTTTATGTCACTGCATCATCTTATTTTGACATTGATTAGAGTAAGAAGGGTCACTGCTTAAAGTCCCAATGGTTTAGGAGCCTTGCTCTAGTTTTTCTACGATCACTTCTTTCCACTAAGCAGTCTATGAGGTCAAGCTCACCAGATCCTGTCCTGTGTCTGCACCCTTCTGGATCATATTCCAAGTATCTAGACCTCAGAATTCTCTCTCCAAATTCAAGCCTCCAGGCCACTGTACTGGACTGTTTTTTTTTTATGTTCCTCCTGATTTTTGACTGTAGTGTCCTGTAATTCTTCAAGTTTGTTTTTCATCCATTGAAAACATTCAATCATCTTTTTTCTAAATTCTGCATCAGAAAGTTCCATCAAACTTTCTGGCTTCATGAAATCCATTGCTACTGTGTCATTTTTGGGGGGAGATATCTTGTTCTGGGCTTGCGCGGTGAGTGCGGTACCCTGCTTCTTTCGAGACATTGAAGTGGAAGAGTTGTTAAAAACGAAGGTGTTAGTTGGTTCTTGGTTTGATGTCACTACTTCTCTATAAAGATGTCCAGTACCTTCCTTTTGCTTAGGTTGATGGGACCAATGTGGTAGGGCCAAACAGCAGTTTGTAGTC